TTTTGCTGAACATTCACACACTTGAGTTGGTTGGAGGAGGCCTCAGACTCACAGCAGCGGACTTTTATTGGCTTAATCCAATTTCGAGAAGAAGAGTTCAAATGATGATTCTTAGCGGATGTCTTTTTCTTGGCATAAAACAGAGCACTTGAACACCAGTTCCTATCCCTCCGACGAGATTCTTCTTCCTTCTTTCTTCTTCTTAACTTGTACTCTATCCATTCTCCTCTTCTTTCCAGTCTCCTCTTCACAGGAGCCCTGGCTCAGAGTGAGAAGTGGAAGTTTCAGGATCATCTGTTGAATTTTTAGAACAGTTCTCAGATGACGGTGGAGAAAGAGATTGTGAGCCTGTGCTTGATTGAGAGGATGTTTGGAGCAAGAATATTTCTTTCAAGAGCTGTTCTCTTTCCTCTTAAAAACTTTTTCTTTCATTTTCTTAAGTCTTTTGTAAATCAAGAAATTTTTGTGTGAGTGGGGAAATCCAGGGTTCACCTCCAAACTTTAAGATACCAATTGTCCCGGATTGAGTGTTTGGTGAGGAGGTTTCCTATTTTGTCCCGGTTTCCTTCTCTGGAGGATAATAACTCACAATCTCATCAGTTGAATATTCTTGTTCTTTTGTTTCATATCTTGCATTTAAAGTATCATAATCACAAGAAATTTCAGCCGCGGGATTAGACCTTTTCTTGTCCTCTTCCTCAAGTGTCTCTTCTTCACTAAAATAGACCATCTTTTCAAACAGATCAAGACGCATGTAATCCAAGTCATTAAGTTGAATACAATCCACTTTCTTCAGATTACATGGATTCTTTATACCAAGTCCTTCTTTGGTATTGTAGAAACGAATGTCTTTTTGTTGATTTAAGAAAATGGTTTTTGTTCTGTTTGACCTCTTGTTGCAATAAGATCCTCAAGTTCTTTGATTTTACGATAGAGAGCACTTTTTTATTATTGAGGAAATCTTTATTTGCTTTTTCAGTGTTTCGCTCTGCCTCAGTTTCTTGCAATCTAAAAGTCAGATCAGCTATTTTGAGTGTTAGCTCTTCTGTTTCAAATGTCATTGTCTTGACCTCTTTTTTTGAGTTTCCCAGTTGTATGCTCAGTGAGGCGGATTTATCCATGTACTTCAGTAGAACTTTGTGATTATTTGCTAATCTCTCTTCTAATTCCTTGATGATTGTATCTTTCTCAGATTTGCTTATCTCAGACTTATCAGAAACTTTAGCACATATGTTCTTACATAATGATGATGAGATAGAAGCATCCATTGTTGATTGTTGAATGTTGACCGTAGACATGAGGTTGATTGAAGTTTCTGCAATTTGCTGAACCTTAAAATGTGTCTTGGACCTTGAGAAAAAATAGTCTTAACCTTGAGATTTTTTTTTAATTATTTTTTTTTTAATCTCAAGGTTCACTCTTGGAAGCTTTGAAAGTAAGGTTAACCTTTGGTGTTGAAGATTTGAGCTCAAAAATTGAAATGGGCTCAAAATCAGCTCTTGAAATGGGAGTTTTACAAAAAATGTACTTATCCAAGAGAAGGAGAAAATGAATCTTTTTAACAATCTCACACCTAAACACCTTGGGAACTTTTGAGCATATAAATAGGACACAACTCCTTCCTTAGTAGTAAAAGGTGAAGGAGAAGAGGGGAGCTCTCGTGCACATGGGATTTCGGCTTTCAGTTCAAAATCAAAAATTCGCACCTCCTGCGCGAGCGACCTGCAGACACGAATGCTGCAAAATTTAGCGGTTATCAAAAGACATTTTTGCCCCTCTTTCCTTTTTTTAAAATGGGCTTCGGAAATCTTAATATCGAGGAATGCTTGTCGAGTTCCCAAACCTCGAGATCCTAAAGCTCGAGAACGTGAACTTCGGGATCAGTTATACTTCGAGATCTGCTAAAATATCGAGATCCTTTTCTCGAAACCTGAATATCGAGATCTATTAAAATATCGAGATCCTTGTCATTCTTTCTGAATATTGAGATCTTTTCTCGAACCTTAAATGTCGAAATCCTTTCTCGAACCATAAATGTCGAGATCCTTTCTCGAAGCTAAAATATCGAGATCCTGCAAATACAAAATTTCGAATTGTGAAAAACTGAAAACTATTCCGAGAACTCCTCAGTGTCGAGATTCCTCCTGTATCAATTTCAAGTCGAAATCGTTCTTGTAACATGTACAAACCTTGATATCGAGATCTCAATGTCCATATCTTCAAAACGTAAAGATTACAGAAATAAAAAAAATAAGGTATTCTGCTGTATCGTTAGATGATGGCGATTCCAACAGTATAACTTTTACAGATTTTCATTCACAACAAAGATTACAGGAGCTAAATCTTTAAAACAATGAAAACAGAAATAACAGAGCAGTTCTTCGTCTGATATTCTCTCGATTGGTTGTGAATTTTACAGAGATTCTTCAATCCATTTCACGCTCGACTCTGATACCAATTGTTGTTCCCAATTTGGTAGAGTTATAAAAGTATACAAAAAAGATGTACAAATAAAAACTTTATTTTTCAATCTAAAGAAATATTTGAACCCGTTTGGTAGACCTGAATTTAAGCTTTAGAAATTGATTTTTTCTTCAAAAATATGACTTTTAATCAACAAAAATATTTTGGCACAACAAAAAAACCGAAACAAGTGAACGAACCCTGGTTTCAAAATTTCGAACATAAAATCGAATCAAACTTTTTACTTTGATTCAGCATTTGATTTTAGTTAAAACCTGAATCGTTCGAACCGAACTCACCCTATTTGATTGTTACTAAACTGTTAAAATACCCGCACGGGTAGCTTAGTTAGTTGAATGGTGAGAAAGTTGGAACATTGACAATTATTAAAACCGTTCCAACCGTGTGAAGGTTATAACTATGTGTGTTGAACTAGACTTCTGGTACACACAAATATAAACTCTACCATCATTGATCAGACTAAATCATGGTGATTTACGAGCTAGCAAATGAGTTGTCAAATTGAAATGTGGGGCCTTCGGAATTGGATTTAACCTTTTGAACACTAAACTGCTAAAAATAGAAAACATCGAGATTTTAGTATATCCAAAACAACAGCAATTTGAGTCGTTCATCGGGAAAGAAGATACCAAAGTCGCCGATTTTCTCTCCTTCCTTAGATAGATGCGTACTTCCATATAAGTTCTTGAACCGTAGGGTTTCTTATTCATCATTTCAAATCTCTGTTTAATCTTTGTTTAAATAATAAAAGCCAACTTTGTTAACCAGGTATTTTTTCCATCCACTTGGAACCTATTCCGTCGAGGGAAGTGTTCCAAGTTAAAGATTTTTCTAAAAGGCACCATCCATACGTGCCTATTCAAACTTGGAACCGCAAAATACCGGCCACGCTGCTTCATAACGAATCGCAAAGCAGTTTTGCGTCTTCGTCTCCGACAGTACTCCGCCAAATAGCAGCCAAATATCAGGTATCTCTATCACTTTCACCTTCAAATTCATTGCTTTATACATGTAATCTAGATTGCGTATGAGTGTGCTGCAATAACCGTGTTATTCCAGTCCTGGTTATCAGTGTTGGATTATGGTGGTAGTTTATTTATAATAGTGCCCTGAAAAGCTTTACAAGTACTACCCTCAACTAATGCCTCCATAGTGCATAGAATTTGTCAAAACTGTTACGACACGAGGTTCCATCCTAAAAGGTCAACCTGATAGGAGGAGTAGCTCATATCTTAATATAGCACTTCGTTGGCTCAAACATTTCCGGTGTGGGATTTTTAACACCCCTCCTCACAACCACACTCTTTGTCTGGATCGTGTCGTCATTCATTTTTTTCGTCTATTCATCATTGTCATTTTTTTTATAATCGTGTCAATCATTTTGTCGTGGATCGATTTGGCTCTGATACCATGTTAAGACTCGGGGTTCCATCCTAAAAGGTCAACCTGATAGGAGGAGTAGCTCATGTCTTAATATAGCACTTCGTTGACTCAAACATTTCCGGTGTGGGATTAACAAACTATTATCAAACATCTGGACTCCTTTCCAAATTCACCTTGTTAGCAACTATCTCAAACAAATAATTTTCATAGTCAACGATTTCATGAATGTCTTCTACAAGTTCGACAAAATGCCTTAACCAGATTCTAAGTTTTAAAATTTTACTTGTACATACACAATGATCTCTTGGATTTTGAACACATTTAATCCTTTAATAACAAACTCATATATTCGCTTACAAATCTAAAATTTTCATCTTACTTTTACATGATCAAATATTTAGATTACTCATATTATAATTTTCACCACATTTACAACAAAAACATACATATTTTGGACTCATAGTTTACAATTAATTAATTAATTTCACACGTGTTTTATTTGAAGTGAAAAAACATACAACACTTTGGTAAGTAATTCTTCATCTGCTTAGCAACTTCCCAGCACAGGAAATCATTAAAAATAAAAAAGACAAATACTTTGTTGCTTAAAAACCGAAACAAAATACTTTATTGTAACAAAAAAGGAATGCAAATTATTATCAATTTTTAGGAACCATTTAGCAAATGACATTTAGCCAACGCACATATGTACAAATTCATTTGGTAGTGCTTGAGCATTTCCTTTATCCTCTCTGGTTTGCTTTGTGTTTCACACTATATGTTTTGTTAATTAAAATTTTAAAATAACAGATTGATAAATATACATGGAGCAAGTGACAATTGTATCAGTTTTCTTGGTGAAGTCAGAACTTTTTTCTCTTATAGTTCACAAACGATATTGTTTTCCATATACTTTCAAACTGCAATTTGTCAACTTCAACTCTTACACAAAGTCTCTTCTAACTCTTCATATGCATGTAGATGTCTACAATTTGATTAGTTGTCATTCTATAACAACTAAAATTCTGAACTTGTGACAACATTATATTACAAATTTACTTGGTTCATTGTCAAAATTCAAACTTTCTTAAATGAAACTTTCCTTTATCATTATTGTACTTAAACAATAGGTGTTCACAAAAACATAGGTCTTACGTTTCACCATTCCCTTTGTAGACCCAAATTCAAACTCTTCATATTTATCCGCTAGTAAATGTATACGCCATAAACCCTAACTATTTCTGTTTCTCCTTTTTTAAATCGTCGATTTGAAGGCGAGGAAGAGCAATCATGGTGAGAACGAAGGTGGAAATAAAGAGGATAGAGGACAAATCCAAGAGGCACACTACCTTCACCAAGCGCCGCCAAGGACTATTCAATAAAGTCAAAGAGCTCTGCAAGCGTTGCAATGCAGAAGCAGCCGCAATCACATTCTCTTTAGCGGGAAATGCATATGCTTATGGCTATCCCTGTGTTGGATCCGTCTTGAAACGTTATGATGACCATATCCAGAAGCATTCGCACGGGGCTGGCGGTGAGTCTGTAGATGATTCATCTGGTGTAGCCACTACTTTAAGTAGTAGTTGTGCTGCAAGTATAAGTAGTTGTGATAGTAGTTTAAATGTAGACGAATTGGGAATGGAAGAGCTTGAAGAGGTTAGAATGTCTATGGAAGAGTTGAAAAAAAGAATTATTGATCGAGTGAATGAGATTTCAGAAACTATTCCTCTTTAATGCTCTCTTGTGGATTGAATAGTTCACTATAATACCTTTTGTAGACTGGAATAGTTTTAAATGACGAACAATTTGAATCACTATTGCTAGTAATGAGCAGAAAGACTATTTCCTATTTGATTATATGATGATTATTACAGATATTCGCTCTTGATTTGATTTTCTTCTTAAAAAGTCTTTCTTATTCATACTTAGCATTTTGCTGGATTTATAAATTAGACTGATATATTTTGTGAAGGTGAGATGCAAAGGGAATGGCAGCTCCCCTTTGAATCTTTATAATATCATGTTCGGATCCTTGGATAATACTGCTAGACTAGATAGTTCTAATATAGTTTGTTTACAAAGTCTTAAACTTTAAGTTTTATAATTTTGCATGAAGCTTAAAGATACAGTGACACTCTTTCTTAATCTATAGTGGCAACATCATCAAAGGCATCACCTTCTTTGGTGATTAAACCTCAACTTAATTCTTCCGTAATGCATTTTTACTGCTTGTTTAATCTTGCTGATGTGAGAAAGTTGAAGATATGAAAGGGAAACTTTGGGTCTAAACATGACAGATTGACTCATTGACTGAATACTCCTCCAAGCCCATAATTGAAGAGTTTGTAAATGATGCATTGACAGAACATATGCTAGCATTGTCAGATTCAGAGTGGTACAAATTATGAACTCCATTAAAGATATCCATCTGTTGTCGCTAAGTTGAAAAGCATTTCAACTCAAGTGTGGCTGTAGAAATAAATGATTGGGAGTATGTCGTTCCAGAGAATGCATTGTCATACGTTATTCAGGAGAATGATGAAGGGAAGGAGAGGGAATATGAGGTCTCGTGTGTACCATACTCAATCCATCTGTATTCATTCTGAGATGTGCTCTTAGGGTCATTAGCATCTCATTTGATTGCATGCCTCAGATTCTCATTCTGATGATGGGATTGTTTAGGTTATTGATTCAGGCAACAACATTGGTGGGACAAATGAGGGAGCTTGGTTGCATGTGTGTGCACAACTGTATGTGACGTCAATCAGAGATGTGTCATCATCAGATCTCTGAACATGCTTAGTTGCCCAACAGATCTGTGTACAACGGAACAGACATCAGTAATAGCTCCAGCAAACGTGAAGGTTTGTTATAACCGGTTTTTGTATGAGTTATCTTGTTTACAAAAAAACTGTTCGATTTTGTATCTCTCTAATATTTAGCTCCAATGATATCTTTTTGCCCATATTTTCTCCAATAATATTTTGTATCTACCCTTCTTCCTTTGGACCATCAAACCCAATCTCAATATTGATGTTTACTTGTTTGGTCCATGATTTTTGGCTTGAGATTATGATGGAATAAAGCAAAATGGCTCACTAAACTGTCTGCGCTTCTTTGTTATGGAGCAGCAGTCAGTCCATGCAATCTTGGACGCGATTTTCACTATGGGTCATCCGGAAACAGTCTCTCTGTGCTTTAGTACAGGGGTAAGACTGCGTACATCCGACCCCCCCTTACCCCACCGTAGGTGGGAGCCTTTGCGGCACTGGGGTAAATGAAAATGATGACTTGTTTGGTCCATGATGGTAACTTCCTGTAAAAACCATCAGGGTGTCTTTCGGATTACAAATAATGCCAGTGAAAGAGAGAAATTGTTAAGCAAGTGTTTTATATGTTTGATTCTTTGGAAATTTGGGAAATGCAAATGATATATGATTATTATTTTTAGGGAAAACTGTCAAATAGGTCCTCGAACTTTCATAAAAAGGTCAATTAAGTCCTTCAATAGGAGGTTCTGTCCGGCCATCGCTATTTGGGGCAGTTCCCGGTTGAATTTTTTGATGAAATTTTTTGAGAATCTTATTCACCAAGTCTAGTTTACTCATACCAAATTTCAGCTAAAAATTCAATCGGGAACACATTCAAATTAATTCTTGAAGATAACTGCGCATTTTTGCGTTCTCGAATTAATTTGAATGTGCTCCCGATTAAATATTTAGCTGAAATTTGGTATGAGTAAACTATACTTGATGAATAAGATTCTCAAAAACTTTCATCAAAAAATTCCACCGGGAACTGCCCCAAATCGCGACGACCGGACAGAGTCTCCTATAGAAGGACTTAATTGACTTTTTTATGAAAGTTCGAGGACCTATTTGACAGTTTTCCCTTATTTTTATCTAAATTTACCTATATTTAGATGTGTTAATATCAATATATTAAACATCAATAAGTTAAATGAGTATCGATAAATATCTCAAATAATTGTATCCAGTTGATGTTTTCCTTCCATTTATCATTCCTCATTGCTTTCTAGGGTCCATAAAGATACTGGTAAAGTTGGTTACACTCTCATTAGAAAATATATGTACTTCATTGGGTTCTAAATTAAATTCAAACATTCTTTCTTGTAATATTTGAACAAGAAAAATATCTTTTACCCCTATAATAGATCAATAGTACGTCATTCATAACTCACTTTGTCCAGATAGATTATGTAAATATTATGCCTTTCATCTTACTTTTAATGAAGGGCATCATTAAAAAAACTATTTTTTAGAAATCCTTGAATTCAAGCTATGACTATAATAATCAAATATTGGGCTTTCGTTTTTCTGAGATATTGCAGCCTCGCTTATACTTAAAAAAAAATCCTGTGCATGGCCCGAGACCTGTCATCAACAGTGGTTATACTGTTTATACTGGATTTAGCCAGTTAGGCTCAAGGCAGTGCAAGTTCTCCAAAAGCAAGTTCCCAAATTGGGAATGAAGCATTTGAATGTAAAGATTGCTTTTTGGAATTGGTTTATGTATTCATTAGGTATTAGGTATGAGAAGGACATGTGGAATGAAAAACAAAGTGAAGTGTGGGGAAACTGTCCATTTTCTGCTTAAAGGCCAGTCTTTTGCTGAGAAAGGCGAGGTAATATGCCTGCTGTTGCTGACAACCTTCTCTGTTGCACCTAGCCTTCTCCAGCAACCACTGGCAGAAAAATGTTTATAGAATTTTTCTTATAAGGATCTCGAAAAGTATCAGGAAATTCATTGTAAACGTCTCCAAAATCCGCTGTCAGGACCATCGTTTAAAAAAATCGAGAAACTTTCATAAAAATGTCGCCATGAAATGTTGTTGGAATTTGTTATTGCTGGTCAAAGTGACATGTCAGTGTCATTTATGGTTGCATCCACGGTTGTGCAAGTCTGAGTGACCATCAAGAAGTTCAATGACATTCTAGCGTTTCACAAAGGTTAGGGTCGAAAGTGACAATTGCAGAAGCTCACAAAAAAACTGGAACATGACCTCATAAATGATGCTTTTACTTGGTGCTTGCGTGAACTTCTCAGTCCACCAGATACCATATTTGTGGAGCTCATCAAAAGCTCAAAATGAATGAGAAAAAATGTCTAAAGAAAGAATCAAATTCTTATAAATGTCACCAGGAAGAAAAAGGAACCAGATTCTTCTGAGATTAGATAACTTACCTCTTCCAGGCTAGCTATATATATGGATGTTGAGACCTGGCATTCCAAACAAGTGATCACACAATCTAAGCTCCAGTTACTTTCTGTATTATATTGATTCAATGGCATCACAGCAGAGCTACCGGGAGGTGGATGAGATCATCGTGTCTCAAAAAACCACCATAGTTACCAGCCACAAGGTTGAAAATGAGCAGCACCACTCTTTGAAAGACAAGGCGAAAGAGGTGGCAGGGAGAGTGTTTCACCACAATCACCAGACACATGAATCTGCTGCATGCATTGATTCAAACGCAACCTGTGAGAAGAAAGAGGGTTTGGTGGGCAGGGTGAAAAGCCAGCTGAAGAGCATAGGGAAGAAAAAGCGCAAGGAAGGAAACTGCGAGTGTGGCAGTGACAGCAGCAGTGATGAGAGCGATTGCGAATAAGCAGATAAGGAGGTCTTATGGATGTTGCTCCGTGATTTCAGCACTTCGCTAAATTCTTATAAGTAACAAATATAATGTGTGTGTCGGTATGTGTGGTATGTTTTGCAGAATAAATGGTGATTTTTCTATGTGTCTAATAAGAGCATGTAAATGCTAGCTGAAACAGCTACAAGTTTTTATGTCATTGTTGATACCTTGAGCAGTTGAGCACCATACCATATAGGTAGACCTGCACAAAACGGGCTTAGGCCGGGCTTTCTATAAATTTTCTGCTCATCATGTGTGGGTGGGTCTGGCCCGCAAAAATGGGCCTAAGCCATGTCCATACCCGCCCGCAAGAGCAGGCCGGGTAGTCCACTGGGCCGTCCGGCCCGGGAAAACTTTAAATTTTTCAAAATTGTATAATTCTATTAATACTTTATAAATAATATTACAACATTTTAAAAATTGCTAATACACTTATAATGTTTATAGGTCTTTCACCACATACACAAAAAATAGTTACACAAAAATAATAATGAAAAACTATATCTACAATTTAAAATTCAAGCACAAAGTATTACCTTTAATTACAAAAATAGATACTCCGTATTATATTGGTTGGGCTAGTTGTTAAGAACTAAAAACTTAAATGTAAACATAATAAACAATAAATATGTATAAAGATAAATTAGTAAATATAAATATACATGTATATATACTAAATGTAGCACGCCGGGCTTATCGGCCCGAACAGGCCTACACCCTAACCCAAGCCCACCCATATGTTATTGTGGGCCGGGCCGGGGCCGGTCCGGTGAGTAAATATATAGTCCAAACCCGCCCATTTGTGCGGGCGGGCGGGGTGGGCGGGTGGCCCGACCCGGTTTTGTGCAGGTCTACATAGGTAGGTATTTTCTTATAGCAACACATGCCTCCACCTTCCAAGTATTAGATAGAATATGCTACACATTTGAACATCGATCCCAATCTAGACGGAGTATTTGTTGCAAATTATATCTTACAACCGGTTGTACCTTGAGCATGGTGCAACCGCTTCCAAGTATTAGATAGAATATAATACATAACCCAACTTCATATTTGAACACATGTCTCAATCTAGATTGAGTATTTGTGTCTTTAATAGTTGATCTAAACCAGATTAGTTTTCAATCATGTCAAACACTAAAGGACCAATTAAATATGATAATACCATATACATATAAGAAAATTAAAAAACTTACACCACACCTTGTAAGTTGTCTCCCACCCCCATCCTTTAAAACAAAGTTATCTTTGATTTGCGATGTTAAATTTTGATCAATAACATATTTATAAACGAAATGATGCATACTATGATAATTATGCGAAATTCTTCTTTATTAAAATACTTTCATATACCTTTCACAATACTGTATTAGGGGGTGTTTGGAACTGATTGTGACGCTTTACTAATATCAAGTAAAGGCTCTAAGCTCCGCTCCTTCGACTTATTAAAGCAGAAGCAGAATCAGAATCAAATTTCAGAAGTTGGTCACCCCCAGCTTCTAAAAAAACTGATTCTAGGAGTAAATTAGAGCACCAGAATTACTTCTGCACTTTTACCCAAACACTCCAACTTCTGCTTCTGCTCTCTGAAGGAGCAGAAGCAGTTTTAAGAATCAAATCCAAACACCCCCTTAATCAAAACCAACCATTGACCAAAATCATCATCATTAACTAAGAGAGTCAAATATGGCAAATTTTTAAGGTACAGAGTGAGTAATAAATTATGCTTATGGGCACTAAGGATTTTAAAATGGACTGATTTTTTTTTATATGATCTGACCTAATATGATATTTTTAAATCTAGATTGGTTTGATATTAACTTGCCCGGACTAATTTTGGTCTGGTAGTTGTCTTTTCTATGTGTACCGATGTATGTGTACTTTACAACTTTCGAAAACTGGTATAATCTCGTCTTATTTGTTTAAGTCTAGTCTGATATGAAACTAGAACTAATCCAATTAAAAACATCATAAATATATAAATGTATACTTATCATTAATGTATTTGGTGGTTATTATATAAAATGTTGTTTGTGACTTAGTTTTAGAGAGATTGAATTCATAAAATAGGATAACATATAAAAACAAGGCAATTTTTTACGAGCATATAAAGTAGGAGGTGGTTCGATACGGTATACCGGATATTATATCTCATACCTTTACCGTACCGTAATTTTTTGGTATGCAAAAATACACACTGTTACCTATACCAAAATTTCGGTACGATAAAGGTAAATTATCATGATTTACTTGAACTTTAATATAAAAGATTACTATATGTGAATCAAATATAAAAAATTAATGTGAGTAGTGATATGCTAAAATCATTGCTAAGATTAATTGCAAAATACTACTGATAACAACAATTATTATAAATATGTTTCAATATCTCAACATACGATATATGAACATAATAACACATTCTCCAGAAATAATTTAAGTAACATAAATGTAAATAAAATAATAATGATCTTCAACAAAAAGTATAAATAGCTTAAGAAAAATGGATATACAATTATTTATCCTTAAGTTAATGTTGTGTTTCTAGTCATATTTATAATTTTAAAAGAATTATTAGCTTGGATTTTCAGTATATGACGGTATACCGGCATACCGTTTATTTTTTGATGTATTTTGTTAAAACTTTTGTTTTTTAATATTATTACATTAATACTTTTTACACATTTTTTAATTACCCTGCCCAAGGGCGGAACCAAAACAAAATTTGAGGGGAGGCTAAAAAATACAAATCGCCGATCTAGAAAGATGATCTATAATCTCTACCGTATTCTTTTTAGTATATTTAGAGTAATTTGATCTCAAATCCATTGCAGAAAAATTATTTTCAGTTTCATGAAGTGACTCTTTATGTGGACATATATCATACATACATAAGCGCTCACATACATATACATATCATATTAAATAGTCATTCATTTATCAGTATACTTGTTTTGTTAGTGTAGTGCGTAAACAAAATAATGGACTTGTTTTATCAAGCGAGTTTATTTTGATTTGATACGCTTGTCATTTTATTTTAAAATATCAAGGTTTAAATAGCAATATAGCTAAATAAATGGAGGAAGATAAATTAATATGTAAGTTATTTAAAAAAAAAGGATATTTGTTTTATTTATGCAAATGTATTTCATAAATTTAATTATGCACATATAAAGTCATATATTTCAAATATTAACAAGAAAATTTGGCATATTTGTTCTAAACCAAAGAATAAATAAATAGTTATGTTACAATTCAAGTTGCTTTAAAAATTTTCTTGATAAACTGTTAATAAAATGATATAGGTATTTTGCCAAAAAAATTGATATAGGTAAATGTTTGAGGAAGGAATAACTGGTTAAAGGTCATTTTTTACTGTGATCGTACTAAACAGAAAGTGTAAATAACATGTCAATATTCAAAAAAGGAAAAAAAATTGAATTGGAAAATAAAAATGTAAAATAAAAGTAATATGGGATGATAGGAAAAAAAAAATTAAAACTAATACCCTCCCAAGTCCCAAAGAAATAAAAAGGCAAAAGAGTGCATGAAGTTTAATTAAAAAGAGAGTGTATATATAGTTAAGTTCATGCCTTCCTACTTTGTTCAATTCAATGCTATACATGTTCATTTGGTTATGAAAAAATTCACTTGTTTACAGAATACTTATTTAACTCATTTGGATGTATCATGCACACCGTATAGACACATTAAGGATTTTTCTTTTGGATTGTTTTTCGTTCCATACCAGACCAGATCAGACTTGAACATATCAGACTAGATCAGATTTGAACTGTTATAAAATACACAGAGACCAGACATTTACCGGACCAAACCAAATCAGACCATGCTTAAACATATCAGAGCATACCGGATGAGACCAGGCCAATAAATTTCAGTCCAAAAGATAACATCCTAAGCCAATGCCCCACAGATTAGATTACATTCATGAGCCGAAGGGCAGCGCTTCCCATGAAAGAAGGCTTCATATTTTCTAGATTAGGAATGCTCAGGTTTTATTAAGCATAACTCTTTTTGGTGTTACAACCTTTACTACAAACAAGAAATGAATAATAAGTAGGTAATTTTAAAAAGATGAGAGGTTTACTTTGAATCTTGACATGTCATTGACTAAAGTCGCTGCATAGAATCTTTATTTTCTACCTAGACTTTCAACAAATGGTGCCGTGAATGAGAAAAAAAGTTGGAATAAGTGGTGATGAAACAAAACTATATATACAATTGAATATATACCCTTTCAAGTTGGCTATTGGCAGGAAAGGAGATTCAAAGGTGGTGGGATGAACTGCCCTTCTAACATGCAATGATGCAATGCATATCTTGATATCTGTTATTATAAAGATGTCATAGTTTCAAAGGGGTGTTTTAAAAAACCAGTATACTCCCCCGTCTCTTATAACTTTGCCAACTTTCCTTTTTTGGTTGTTCCAAAAACTATCACTTTCATTTTTAGTCAATCAATTTATTGTTCCTGTTATTTCTCTCCTCTACACAAATCTCTATCACACAATTTTTACTTTATTATTTTACGTGATGATCAAACTTGGCAATCCTTTTAGGGACGGAGGGAGTAAGATTTTTAATATTCTTATACCTTACTTTTAGTTCTTAAAAACATTTTCGAATCTTTAAGTAAGACTTAATATGTTGTAACAGTTTGAAGAGAAAACCTACTAAAATAAGTTAGTTTATAGTTTAGTTAATGTTTTCTGATCATAAAAGTTACTTATTCCTTGATGTAAACATACTAATAGAAAACTCTTTGACTTTACTTGTATGCTATCAAATCAATAATAGAATACTACTTTTAGTAAGTATCTATATAAAATAAAAAAGTTACGGAGTACATAATTTTGAAAAATACCAAGCAATATTCAAAAGTTAGTAGAAACCAATAATAAAGTGGTTACAATAAAGCTATGTGATCTAAAATAGATGTTCAATCAATTTAGTTTAGATTTTAAAAAGAACTCATATTTATGCTCCCTGAAGTAGCAACATCTGCAAGATATTCTCCAACCACTGGAAAACCAGAAGCTCTCCTGGCAAACTGAGCATACAAAAAAAGGATCTACCAGAGAAAGGGAGCAAAACCAAAACACCGTGAATGTTTCTTTCTCAATATACACAAGAAACTGACAGTCAACTGCACATATTTTTCAAATTAGAAACAAAGGTAGCAATAGCATGAGCAGCCATATCTTCAATTCCTTCTTGAGTGGACTCAGTCAATTGCAGATGCTTCTTTGCAACCTTGAAGGAATGGTCACCCCCATTAATCACATGTATATCATTAGCACAACTCATTTTTTCCCTCACAGCTTCAAGTTTATCTAACGGGCAAAGCCCATCTTTGCTACCCTTCATGAGAAAGAGTATTATGTTAAACATGAAAAATATCTTGTGATTCCAATACACTCTTAACATTAAACTCCAAACCGTACACTACATATGATCCGCGTTTTTTTTTAAATTTCGCTGATAGACAAAAGACAACTATAAAAATATCAATTCTATTTTTACCAATTTTTTCCCTATAGGTTTTTTACAAAGAAAAAAGTAGTCATTGAATAATTTATAAAAAGCGATAAAAGAAGATGAAAAAGTAGAAAAGAGAAGGAAAGAGGTAGAAAAATCATATAAAAAGGTATGGTAAGAGTTTCTGAAGTAGTAAATGGCACAAGTAATAAAGTTCTTCCTAAACAGAAATGGAACAAATACAAAAACTGAGCGGTAGTATACATCGCAGCCAAAGCCCAAAACAATGAATACTAGCACAAAAATAGATATCTAAGCAATAACGCCGCTGCCAAACCATGCACACAAACTTTGCAACTGACCAATATCCACCCATTTGTCAGATTACATAACTTGTAGCATTATTTTAGAAAGATAGTTATAGCAATTATCTCAAATTCTCAATTCATTTCCATCTCGTGACATTTCCCATGCAAGTAGAAGTAACCCATGGTTATGACAGTTTTGAAAATTCATCTTATTATTCCCTGGTAAGAAGGTTGTGACAACAAATACATGCCAAACTTCTTTACAGAATACACCTTAGAATCATACAAAACCAAGTGCTTGTACCTGCACAAACATCACGGGAACTCTAAGCTGTAGCAGTGTCTCATCTCTCATAGAACCGTTTATTCCCTGTAAAAAAATCAATCCTTTATATTAACAAAAAATGCAAAAGTCTTTCAAAATGTTTTGAACACGTATCTTCTCCGAAATGATAAACTTTGCTCTTTCTCAGTTCACCACTTCTTTGATGCTATATGGAAGTAATTTGTAGTTTGACGTGATAGGGAATTATGATTTCCTTTAGCTTTCTTTGTATTTAGAGTATCATCAAACAATAAATAAAACAACAAAGTTCAGATATATCATTTTCCATAGCCACACCATATTTTAGAAGATAAAGCGATACTTGAAACTTTGGAAAAGAATTTGGAGCATAACAAGCATCACTATTAAACAAATAAGGTTGACCTTTAGAGGGTATCCCAAGCATACTACAGCCGAAGCACCAATGTCCTTGCCAGCTACCATGCAGCTGACCCTACATAAAGTAGCATGATCCAGAGGTGCAGAGTCACCAGATTTTTATAACAATAACTTTCAATAAGTAGCCTTCCACTTTGTAAACACTAGTCCACATCCGTATTGGTAGTTAAGTATATTTGCAACTTGAACTTTAGTAAAAGAAAATATGTCTTTCACAGACTCACAGTGATTTAAAACCAAGAAAGAAAGAAAATAGGCTCGAGGGTGTTCTTAAAATAACAGGAAACATGGTCACCCAAGACATAACCATCCAAAAATGAAGCTACTAAAAATACCTTGACCCCATAGACTTCCCAACCAAGATTAGTGGGTGGTCAGGGTACTTAGCTACTGCATTTTTTATAACATCAAGATGAAAGTCAACCAACTTTTCGGCCTTGGGAGGAGCCCTTCTTTTTCCACTGGAGATGTCTGCAGAGCAAAAAACTAGAGCCTTTAAGCTACATTCAGATTTAAGATCAAATAGAGTGCTGAAGAAGTACCGTTGCCTATTTTATAGATAGCACACAACAATTTCTAAGTATATATTGCCACAAAGGGTATACCAAATATATTGGTAGGTGCATAGCCTTACAAGGGTAGTCAAAAGTTACCACCTCAATTGCATTCAATGCCTTGGACAACATATTTTTCCATCTGCATATAATAGTAAAGTGTTAAGAAGCCATAAGATATACGGAGTAGATGTTTACTTGAACAAAAAATCAATTCACATGCTACACATCAATGACTAGTTGATGATTTTATTCTTCCCTGCATTTGCAATTTTGCATCACTAAGTAAGTCAATGAAAATTAAATTTCATTGGGAGTCTTTCAAGTACCAACTGGATCGAGAAAAACAAGGCCTTGATATTTCCTGGAGAAAACGCATAACTGAAACAACCTTTTCACGCTTTTAGCTCAAGAACTCAAAAGCAAATGCATGCACCTGATCATCCATTCAGATGTGGAAGGAGCACCAGCGCCATGAGCGAACACCACGAGAGGTGAATTATCCTTTCCATTTGTTAATGAGCTCTTAAACGTGGTAGTATCATTGCAAGCCGCAACAGGTGTTTCTTCCTCTTTTTGCTTTTCTACTGTTATTAGCCCGCCATCATGGACCCGCTTGCGCTTTGAAGCTCGTCTAGGGGCCATCCTCCACTCTTATGGATGATAAGAGTGAATAAGACACTTGACAAGACGAAGTTCTTCAGACATGGCGTTCTCTTTTTGAAAAATGGAGCCCTAATTTTGCCGAAGCATATCAATGCCATTGATTTTCGCGCCAAATATCTGGTTGGTCTGGAGAGGTGAAGACTACGATGGGCTCATGAATGGGCTAAATTGAAATTATTTGTTCCAAACTTGGGTATTTGTAAGGCACCTTCAACGGTTTACACCTTGGCGTAAGCATCACCATCATACAATATTGTGGTAATTCCCCATTTAAGTCCCTATTCTCCGTTGCATTTCATTTATGTCCCCATGTTTTTTTCTTTTCATATTTAAACTTTCAGTTTATCATTTTTGAGATATTTTTTTCAAAAATAGTCTTATCACTAAACTAAACCTTTACGCTACATCTAAACCTCTGAACCATTCTTCTCTCTAATCTTCATAGCTTAAAATTTCCTAAGACAAATCAAACTTATACGTTGGATGTTAAACAGTCGCCTCACCAATTCCTTCTCCGGTTTAATCTCTCCGACAAGCCTTCACAGACACAATGACACGATCACTTCTCGGGAGCTTAATTCGACTCGGTGCTCTCCGAATTCTATCTCCTTGGTGGATTTTGACGCCGATGCCGCTCGCTGGTATGAATTAGATGGTTTTGAGGTTCATCTTCAGTAAGCTTCAAATAATCATCGTCGATTTTTAGGAGGTACATGGATTGTTCGTCGCCACCGCTCATCGCCACCACATCCCTTCATCTTTGTTAATTTTTAGACGCTTCCCTTCGAATTCATTCACAAATAAAAATGAGACAATTTCACAGACTGATTAGGTCAAATCCATGTATCATGTGTTTTACATCTATGTGTATATATAGATAGAGTAATATCAAGTCACCAATTTCTAGCTTTCTGCTATGTAGTTTTTTTTAATTTTAAATGTTCATTTAGGATAGTATGTGTTTGCAAATTTACTGCAGTTAATTTGTAGTTTTTGTTAAAGCCTGGACATTCTAAGAGGCTTCCATTAATTGATAGATTGATAATGATATGAGACTGTGAGTTATAGAGTTTATGTATATCACTGTTTGGTCAAAGTGTATATAGTAATAACAATTTCTATCTGGAGTATCATTTTTTAAAAAATCGTATCTTATATCTTTGTCTATTCTAGAAAATTAATTGATTAATGCATGAACATGTGATTACTCTGTACAAACCATATTTTCATGGCAATAAATTGCTACAGAGTATTAATTTGCTGGCCAAGGCAAGATTATCCAGATTTTACTACTGCTATCTCAAATTTATATCCCTCTTCTCATGCTAAGGTACACATTAATACTAATATTTGTGATTGTGGGATGGTTCTGGATGGTTGATATCCATGTAGAGCAAAATCATAAGTGCAATCACAAAATGTTCTGATATTGATTTTGTTCAATTACATTATTTCCTTATTTGCGAATAGAACAAAAATATCTGGATAGTTTGGGAGCTCTTTGTTTAGTTTATATTTGTAATAGACAATTTTTTGTCGTGGTTGGTTTTAATAAACTTTTAATTTATTTTGTGTTGAGGCTTTGTATTCTGATATAGAGGTAAATAATACTTATATATGTGGGGATGTGGATGCTTGATTGATAAGTCGGTTTGATATTTATGTGTGTGTAGATACTTGTAATATTTATCTGTATTATACTTTGCTTACTTAAATTTTCCTCTTGCAACTCTCTGGAAAATGAAAGTGGGAAATCAAGGATACTTAGCTCAAGTAAAGTACAATATTCTCTGTTATTCTTAGTGGATTAATGGCACTTCAGAATGACTAATTTGTAAAGGTCACATGCTTCTCTATTCTCCCGTATATACACTTAAATTTGATTGTTAGTTTTCTTTTCTTTTATGTGACTGGGATTGGGTTTGAATTCTATGTTTATTGACATATGTTTTATTGAAACATTAAGTTCTCAAGACGAGTGCAGTTAGACTTGAAAACTCTTCAAGGTGATTCCATTATATTACAAAGTTAATGAAATCGCTCCCAAATTTGAATTTGTGAAGAAGCACAAAGTGAAACATGGCATCATTGTTCTACTATACTTAGAAATCCTGAGAAGGGGGAGCTGTGAGAGACATGGTTCTACTCTTCTAAATGCATATATTTTGACCACTGTGCACAATAAAATATACTGAATGCGAAGTTGATGAATTTCTTTGTAATATTGATTCTCGTTTTACCATATTGGCCATTCTCAAGGGTAGCAAACATTGTCCAACCCCCATGTACATGTATATATGCTAAAAACAATTTAATTGTATATTCTTTTATAATGTTATACTATAACTATAATTCTGGTCTTGAATGTGGAATTTAAGATTGAATTTTGTATACATTGTGGTACTTTTATTTTTTGTTGCTCTTTGTTGCATGGTGTTGCTTTTTGTTGCATGTTGTTGTGTTTTGTTATATCATATTTCTTTTTGTTGTATCATACGGAGTATATTTTTATGTTGCTTATTATCTATTAATTTGATTATAAAATTTATAGATTCTTTGTGTTGTTTTTTGTTGCATTATATTTGTTTCTTTTTGTTGCGTTTTGTTTTTTGTTGTTGCATTATGTTTCCTGTTGTTGCATACTTGCATTGTATTGGATATGGTTAATGTTTATACTTGAATTTGATTTTAGTTGTTTATTTAGGTTCCTACTTATCTTTGCTCCTTCTTGAAATAAAAAAATTCATGTATTGATATATAAATAATTAAATTGATAAATTTCGTTCTGTGAATATCAACAATAAAACTTGATGAAACAATAAAAAACAAATATGCAAAATCTGCAACAAAAATAAACATAAAGAAACCCAAAGCAACAAAATGCAATTTGTTGCATTATATTTGTTTGTTTTTGTTGTTGCATTGTGTTTCCTGTTGTTGCATTGTATTGCATATGGTTAATGTTTATACTTGAATTTGATTTTAGTTGTTTATTTAGGTTCTACTTATCTTTGCTCCTTCTTGAAATAAAAAAAAAAATCATGTATTGATATATAAATAATTAAATTGATAAATTTCGATCCGTGAATATCAACAATAAAACTTGATGAAACAATAAAAAACAAATATGCAAAATCTGCAACAAAAATAAACATAAAGAAACACAAAGCAACAAAATGCAACAAAAACTAACAATAAAATGATAATAAGAATTTAACTTTGTAGCTCATTAAAAAAAATAATAAAAATCAAACTATGTGATATTTTCCAATGTTTTACGTTTTTTACTATTTAAAATTTTTCTATTTGGTATTCGATTTTTGTGCTTTTCTCCCCGATTTTTTGGAATTATAACCTTTTCTGAAATTTTTAATACTTTTTTACATTTTGTTTTCTATTTTTGTTTTATTTTTTATGTGTTTTTTATTTTGTTTTGTTTTATTCTTCGATTTTTATTTTTAATTTTTTATTTTATATTTTTTTTATTTTATATAATATATGCTCTTTTTTACACAATTAGATATTTGTGTTTTTGTATATTTTTTAATTTTTTTTAATTCATTTTTTTGTACAATTATTTTTTCATTTTTTATTTTCTTATTTTGTTCTTTTTCTTCCTTTTCAGTTTTTAAATATTCCTTATACATAATGTTTATTTTAATTTTATTATTATTTCTGACTTTTTCATTGTTTCAACATTTTTATAGTTTTTTACATTTTTTTTCTAATTTTGATTTTCAATAAAATAAAAAAAATCATTTTGTTTTCATGTTTTAGTATCGTAAGAAATAAAAAAGTTACCTACAACTTTCATAGTTCTCTTTTTTAAAGTTACATATTTTTTGTTTTGTTTTATTGTAAACATTTTTACAGTTATTTTCAGATTTTGAAATTTACGAATTTTTTCCCCAAAGATCACAAAAAATCCATATTATACACATTTGTTTATGTTTGAACATTTGCCTTTTTTAGTGGTTCAACCAAAGTGATATGGAGTAGTATATAGGATTAGTGAGTTATACATAGTAATATATGGTTACGGTCTACGGAGAAAGCAGTAAGGCGCCAGGCTAATTTTGAAAAAAAAAATTCTTGTCTATTTTTGAAAACAAAAATCAAAGGTGATAAAAGTGATATTATTTTTGTTTTTCAGCCAACTTCTAAAAAAATCCCTACAATATTTTATCTCCAACAGTTTACACCATTTTTCACCACCAAAAAGGAATATTCCTTTTTTATTCTTTTTACCTTTATTATATTTAATTATGTAATTATCATATATTTATACATTATAGAGTATTTAATCTCCAACAGTTTACACCATTTTCATCATAATTATCAGTATGATGTGATGTGTAAACATCACATCATACAGTATTTTATCTCCAACAGTTTACACCATTTTCATCACCAAAAAGGAATATTTCATTTTTATTCTTTTTACCTTTATTATATTTAATTAGGTAATTATCATATATTTATACATTAGCCCCTCATTTAATATGTATTTTGGCATTTCACACATTATTTCACAAATACAAACTAAAATACTACTATATATAATCAATATTTCACAAATACAAGGTAAAACCACATAAAATTAAATATTACAATAATATTATAATAATTTATATGTCATTAATAAAGTACTACTTAAACTTAAAGCAATAAATTAAATAAATATTCTTACTTTAGTTATCGGAATTTGAGAATTGTTCCCACAGCTCCGCAATTAAAGCATTGCAGTGCTTAATATGAGCGTTTTTTCATGAATTTGGGACGGCTCTCGGTGGAATTTTTTGATGAATTTGTTTAAGCATCTTATTCATTAAGTCTAGTTTACTCATATCAAATTTCAGATAAAAGTTCTAGCGGGAACACAGTCAAATGATTTTCTGAAATGTACCGCGCTATTTAACTGCACGATTATCTTCA